TACCTTCTTCTTCAGAACCTCACGGGTTCTTGCTAAAAAAGAGTCTTTCATCCTATTCTTGTCTCTTTTTGGTATAAACTTATCAGAGCTATCATTCAGCTCAGGTATTCTAGACTTGTCAAGACTCTTAACCTAACACTAGTCGCTGCGCTTTCGCTTGATCCGCCTATGAAAGTCTTGTGATCTTATAACAACTATTTAAAACAAGCCACAATAGTGTTATAGAGTTTAAGCTCACTTTTGGCTTGAACTGTTAAAGCTCAGTTGTGATCTGCAACCATCCTCTTCTTCGTTGTTATCCTCCTCCTCTTGAGTCTCGATCTCGTCACCAGTTCATGCTCCCACGGTAAACAGTAAGAATTTTCCCAGAATATTTTTCAACCTGTCCGAGAAGGAAGAAAACGTTGCTGTTTTTCCTGTTTCCCCTGCATCAACGTTTTTTCAGTATATGAGCCCTCAATTGCTGATTTTCAATCGAAATAATGAACAGTTCCGAATTTTTACTCAATCAAGAGTCCCTATCAAAGTCGCAAAGTCCTGTCCCTGTCCTACTGAAGTAGATTCACTCGCTAGTCGCCTCATCCGTTTCCCTCGTTTCCACGTCCTTCTGGATCCTCGTCGTGAACTGGACTCCGGTGTATCTCTATTTCCAGTGTTGTCCGTTTGTTTTCCGAGACCTTCTGTATCCTAATTTTGACAATTTTCTCCTGAAACGTTCCATTAACGTACCATTAACCGGGCTCTAAAATCGGTCGATTCACCAGTGTATGTTTCCCAAACAATTCTTTTTTATACTAACCCAGAGTTTTTTTAAAAAAGTTTCATTGTTGCATTTCGATTTTCCAAAAATCGTTAAAAAATTAGTTCGCAACACTTATCTTGTTTTAACGATATCCGAACTAAAATTAACCGCTTCCTCTAGTCAAATTAGTCGAAATACGATAAAATTCACTAATTCAGCATTTTTTTCCGGATCGAAAAATGGAGATATCTCAAAATCGCGTTTTGTGGGGGATCAAAAAATCAATGTTTTCACCCTAAAAACTTGTCTGTTGATGGTGTATTTGGTTGAAAAACGAAATGGGAATATAAATACGAGTAGTATAAGTAGTAATACTTAGAATTTTATATCACTCCAGGTTCATTCAATATCCGAATTAAGGTGCTTAACTCGGCAATGCGCAACTCGGGGAAGGGTCACCACAGTGCAGCCTTTGTCGAGCCACCCACAGATTGATATCGTACGTTCTATACTGAAAAAGATATAAATTGTGTAAGAATACACTCAGTCGATTTTTGTTGTGCTTGTGATCCTTCCTGCTACTTCTTGCAGTATTTTGCTGTATCAGCCTTCTTTTTCAATCACTTGACCCTTCCTGATTGATAGAAAGTTAGCATTAGCGAGCTTAAAAACTCATATAACCCTACAGTACTGGCACCAGAGAAAAAACTACATGTTGATCTGAACGATCGGGTTTGATATCAATGTCTCTAACAACAAAATATCTAAAAACAACAAACTAAAATGTTCCTTACTGAGTTTATCTTTTTTACTGTTTTTTTTTCATTTCGGTATTATACTACTTTATGTTTGGTTTCTTGTATATCTTAAAATGTTTTTGCTCATATACCTCTTTAGGAACGACAGGAACGACAGGACGACAGAACGACAGGACGGCCAGATGGGGGAACTTTTGCTCTTAACTATGTTATAAAGCTAAGTCCTGGAACATGGAAGCCTTTCGCGTTTCGGACTACCCTTCCGTCTGTCGCTTATGAGCATTATTGTGAGCATCCGCCCTGCGCGGAATCTTCTGTTTTTGGGCTCGCCGATAATGAAGTTACAAATAACACCCAGAAGCTCCCTAAAAACACATATGTAACGTTCACCCGGGAAGTACATACCGACAGAAGGTAAAACTAGATCCTAAAACGATTGGTTGGGCCTCTAAAAAGAGCTCCACGTGCTATTAAGCGTCTTTTATCAAATACAATTCCATATGGTACTCAATGAAATTGGTCGAAAAAATCGTTGCTATTCAAAGGATATCGGCCAAACTAGCTAAATTAAAAGTGATGAAAAGTGAGCTCATGGCTGGGTCTCAGTATCCCCAGACCACGAGTACACTCTCAAAAGTAGGGATACTACATTTTCACTATTAAGTTACTATATAGCTATTGTTTTTGTTCAGTAGAGAAACTCATCTTATCCATCAGAGATAGATCGACCCTTTCCCTCAACTCCTAGTTTCTCATTATCTGAATATGATTTTGATGTTAAATAAAATAAATTCAGGTCAATCCGGGAAGCTAAAAGTTGTTAAAATCAGAGTATCCATTCATCACTTTAAAACCTTCTGGCTTCTTTGATACTCTTGATGACGCGTTTTTTTCATCAGAATCAGGAAAGGGTGCAAGATCTCCCTCAGCCTTCCTAATCCACAGGATGAACTCAAAAACGATTGTAACAATCGTTCAGTTGGGAGTGTCTCTTCTTCGAAAATTTATAATCCTTGTTTCAGTCGTTTTTTCTGTCTCCGTCATCTAGTTTAAATTAGCAAAAACCGTGTGTCCAATTTTCGTGTTTTTCAATTTTCGCGGATTTTCAAGATCGTTACGTGTCTTTATTTTCGAACGAATTTTAAGAAAAAAATCATTTCAGTCCAAAATGACTGATTCCACTTCGTTGTTTTTAGCAAATAAGACCGTTAATTGTCAAACTCGGCGTATCATAGAATCAAATTACTTCAGATAAAATTTGTATCGTCGTGCACAATACGATGTAATTCTGGTCGAATGGCGCACTAGTGTACAAAGTGAGTTGATAACGATGCCCGATTTTACTCTTGTCGCTGTCCTCTTGGTAGCTTCCCGGTTGTTATTTGGAGTTTCAAAGCTATCTGAAAACCTTTTCAACGCTCTTTCAGTTGGGCGCCTGATTATTTCAATTGGTATATTCGAAACAATCAACCTGTGTATGAAACTTGTATAATTTGTTCTTAATTTAAAGTCTGATTCACTTGATCTGGTATCCAAGGATACTGTCCCTTTCTTTTTTTGAATTTAAGTACGAATTTTGTAAGTTTTTTCTGATCTTTGTTTCGTTTTCCTGTCATTTTCTCTACTTTTTGTCTCTCGGGTGGCTCTCTGGAGTCGATTAGCTAAACCTAGTATCCGAAAACACGCTCGAGCCAATTTTCTCCAAAATTTTTAAAAAGCTATCACATTACGAACAGAAGGCGGAAAAGTTCTGAATGAGCTGAGCCACCGGTTCTCTAGAATGAGCATATAGGTAATGTAAAAACGGCCAGGAGCAAAATAAAACACTATGTAACAGTCGTACACTCAAATCACATATGTGGTTAGGAGAAATAGGCCCTATAACCCTTGGCTCAAGGCTCAGGGACACTATATTTTGTGCATTTGTACCTCAATCAGTCGGAGCCAATTCACGGTTTGCTTTTGACATGGCATTTTAGGAGACCACTATCAAAATATCCCCCACTGTAGACACAAACAATTACGGCCTCATGGCTAGGCCTCTAAAACCTAAAATCCGCGAGAAGTTAGAAACAAGGTTGAGAACTCTAGTAATCTCCATTAATTTTTGTTGGACAGTGTACATTTGATCCATTTCAGATGGATGAACCTAGAACTCAACTTACATCAACATAACTAGATAAAATGCATTCAAGTAATTAAATTCAAGTCTAACATCTAGACAACAACTCTGGAAGTAATCCCAGAGAGGATTAATTAAATTAATTATAAGTCAAAAAGTTTTATCAAATATCATTTAAGTAGTTTCTGTAACGAAGTTGCTCGAGTAAGTTTTGGACCCTTGAATCACTTCAGAGGGCGACCTTCCCAATCAAGTTGCCTCTTTCTCTACAAGTTGCACTCTCGTATCCACTCTCTGTGCTCTTAGTCAAAATCAGAATAACTCCACTCAAAACTGATGTTTACGGACTCTCGCCTGAGTTTTAGCGACTTTTTCGTAATTGTTAATTTGGTTGTTCTGATTCTTAACTCTGATATTTCAGTTGCCGCGAAAAAATTGAGCATAACAGGGCCAATTCGAAACGTTGAAAAATTCAATTCGAATCAAAAACATATCTGATTTCAATTTTTTAACTTATCGGCCTATTTTTGGGTCGTTTCAGGGGAAACGTTTTTTGTGGTCCCTATCTGTTCGAGCAAATTGCTAAGAATAGTAATCATAGTTCAAAAAGTTTTATGACAACTGTTTTGTTCTAGGGGAATTTAACCATGTTTTGTCGGCTCAGCTGCTGCTTGATAATTGGTTTCAAATTTTTTCTCAAAGGCGTCGAAAGCGTTTCTGGACGTCTTTCATGCAATTATAGTATCATTTCAGACAACGTTTTGATGTTTTTTTTGTTTAAGTGATTCTCTCTGCGTTTCTTGCCTGCTAGCTTGCAAGGCTATGGTATCTCAACTGGTGCGAAGCTGGGCTTCGTCTCTGTGTTCGAAAACTGGCGTTGGTATCAATACCAATGATCAATTAGTTGATACATGAAAAAATTTTATACCTGAAAAAAACTGGAAATTTTGAAGCGGAGCACGCGCCGAAGAAACGAAATTTTTTGGTCAAAATTTCCTTTTAATTTTTCAAAAAGAGCTGTTTTGACCTGTTTCTTTTATTCAAAAACTTGCCTGCGGTCTAAAATTTGTTGTGAAAATAGGGTCTTTATACTGTTTTGGGAGTGCTCGGAAAATGATTTTGGTCCTCGATTTAAAAAAAAAACCGACTTAACTTTCGAAAACTATCCCACCCCCACCCCCACCCCCTCTAGAATATCCTAGATCCGCCCCTGCAAGGATTCACTATTTTTAAAGTGAGTTGTTTTCTATTCAAGAGCAGGCATACAACTGGCTTGGTGCATTTGGAATTTACTTTTTTAGTCTCATATTTTTTAGTTTCAAATTGTGAATTCGTTGAAGTGAGTTCTAGTTTCAAATTGTGAATTCTTTGGAGTGAGTTACAGTCTAAAGAAGGAAAGAGTTCTAATCTTACATTATTTCTAAGAATAGCTTCAAATTAACTACTGACAGCAGTCAGCTGTACGAAAATAAATCATTTGTTTGTTGTACCGATAAATGCAAAAATTATAGATTGAGGTATATGATTAGACCAAAAAGTTGGATATCTTTTTGCGGGAGAGGCATGCGATAAAAGAACCCTTGTTGTTACAATTATTGGCACGGTGTAGGATGTTCCATACAATGTCATTTTGAGGTGTACGAATGTGTATTTTGAGTAATTGATAAGAGATTTGTGAAGCTGCTAGTGAATCTAATCTATATTTTCCCGATATTTTCTTGGTTTGGCCACTGAAATTGATTTTGGGTCGCTCAGAAAGTGCCTCGAGAATGGAATTCCGGTTCTAGGCTTTGATCCACCGTATCTGCTTCTGAAAATTTGATCGACACTCTCCGAAGTCAGCGTTGATATGTTGATATTGATGACCGTGTTGCCATCTTTCGGTGCTTCAATTGCCATGTTCTGCTTTGAGAGATCTCGTCCCTGGCGCCTAGATTCAGTATTCATGATGGCTTTTTGGCTATCGACGCCGTTCGATTTTGAGGAGCTGTATTTTGACGTTGAGTGCTCATTTGAAGCAGGAGAATGGGGAAACTTGTCCATAGAGCTATTATCAGCCATTGATGAATCGTGTTCATCTTCCTCGATAGTTTGGATGTTAATTATAGGGAGAGCGAGAGTATGTTTTCCCTCCACATTGTGGTGTTTGATGCTATATCTTCTCTCCCTCCTCTCTGCTGTGGGGTCTGGAAACGTGGCGACCCTGAAAATTGGATAGAGGCCGTTGCTTTGCATTTTAGCCAGTGTTGGACTGGTCACCCATTTGAGAGCTTCTTTTTGGGTCATGAACCACGAAATGGGTTCATCATATCCGCCTCCCACTTGCACATTCTTACTCCTCGTCGGTAGCTTCTCGTCTCCGCTCAGTATTTTGTCCACAAGCTGCTGTGCCTCTCGGAGGTACCTGTTGTATGTTTTGATCTTCAAATGGCTGAATTGTTTCGAGATCAGGGAAGTGTGTTCTAATTTATCACGTAAATTGTCTGTGCAACTGAATTCGTCCAAGTGACGGAACCTTTGTGTATGTTTCTTTGACTGGACATGACTCCAGACTCCACTCTTTATGTCCAAGTGGTAGAATGGCAGCAAATAAATTCCAAATTTGCAAACAAACTCCACGACATTAAGAATGAAGTCGCTTTCGTGGTCTGAGCTGTAGAAGGCTAAACTAAACCGACAAAATCCGGGTTTGATAGAGTCCACTTTGGAAATGTCTTTGTCAAACGCTTTCAGGAATCTTTCTTCCATTTCTTTGTCCATTCCCAGCAAGTCAATAGCGTATGGCCCGGCACATGCGCATCCACTGCGAACCTGTAGGCCGAAAAGGTCGTTGAAAATTTGGTTTACAAAGTTGTGGTGCAAGTAGAGACCCGATTGTTCGTGGAAGATCATGAAAGAGAATACTGGCACTCGCTCTAGGAAATAGCTTCCCAAAAGATGAAATCCTGGAAAAGTTTTGAATATCTCCATAGCTTTGTATGTGAGGAATGTCTCGCGGTCTTCAACAACTATAGATCCAATCGACTCTTTTACTTTGAATACCAGTCCCGCTCGTATGCACTGTACGACTGGAGGCGTCCCGCTCTCTTCTCTGGCTTCAATGCTGTCCAGGTATCTTTGTTTAGTCCTGGACACATAGAGAACAGAACCACCGCCGCAGTTGTGTGGAACCTTGTTTTCGAACAGCTCCCTGCGAGCGATCAGAAGCCCTGGTGTCTGGGGGCCTCCCAGGAATTTGTGAACGGAAACGAATGCAGCGTCTTTGTATCCCAGCTTTTCCCCCTTGACATCGATTTTCAGATGAGGCCCTCCAGTCGCGTAGTCCCACATGACAATTCCACCGTATTGGTGCATCAAAGTGCTAACCAGGTGGCAATCCGTCAGGACCCCGGTGATGTTGCTTGATTTGGCAAAAGACCCAATTTTCCTTCTCGGATCTGATTTGTATTTCTTCAAATTAGTTTCCAATTGATCTGTGTCAAATTCGCCGAACTTGTTGAAATTGATTGTGATCAGCTCGACGTGTTTGTTCTCACGCCACGGCAGAACGTTGCTGTGATGTTCAAAAGGTCCAATGAACAAAATGGCCGGATTGTTTTCGTTGATGTCAAGGACGTTTATCATTTTGTGCATGGCTGCTGTGCACCCACTTCCGGTGAAAATGACAGCGTATTCGTCTTTTGGCGCGTTGCAGGACATTCGGATTGCATCTCGTGCTTCCTCGCGAAGTATTGTCGTCTGAAGTCCGCAGTAGGATGACTCAGTGTGCGTGTTCCCGTACCAAGGAAGCACTCGAAACTTGATATAGTCTTCAATGCAGCGAAGTGATCGGCCTGACGCTGTGAAATCCGCGTACGTCATTTGTCGCGGGCCGAAGGGACCGTAAGTCAGGGCAGTTGCGCCGATGACGTTTCGCTCAAAAAAGTCCATAATTTCACGTGGATTTTGAACTTGCCTCAAATATATATCGCCGGTTTTTCTTTCTTCGTCCATTTTGCTCAGTTGCTTTCCCGTTTTCAATTGATGGTAGATGCGAAATTATTCGCTCTTGGTTTTTGAAATATATTTTTTTCAGGTAACTATTTTACGGCTTGAAATTATTTGTGAATACTTATTTATTGCACAGATTGTTTTTGAGTTGCGATTTAATCGGTCAAAAATTGAACTGCGATCACTCTGAACATTTTTTTTGGTTAATTTTAGAATATATTAACTTATGTCACGTTCTGTTTTTGATCAATTCGCATGGTTCCACTTGAATATTTCAAGTTCACTCGACTTGAGAATACTTATTTTTTTGTAGTTAGCTAAATGAACTGCTAATTAAAACGCAATTTTAAAATGATACAGCGCTGCCAACAGTATGTGGTCACATGAGTGTTAGCTGCGTGTTGGCGAAATCTGGAACCATATGAAGAGAGTACTCAAATGTAATAAACTAAGCCATCAAATTTTTCAATTTCACAGCCATCGATTTCGCAGCCACGAACTTAGCGGTAAACTCGATTTGAGTTGGAACGGTGAAAACGCTTGCAATAATGTCTCTTCTTAGTCTGTAAAAAATTACAAAAGGGTACGTGGCCTAAACAAGGCGCACTAAAGACTAGCCAGATGCTATAACCTGTTTGCCAGATGATATAATCTGCTTTTTCATAGGCCCAAAAAGTTTCATCTTGAACGATGGCCTGCCTAAAGGTCCAGCGAAAAAATTTTAACATTATTTTTGATAATTTTAATTCTTAGCCTCCATCAATCTGAGCTTACCTTTAGAGCCAGGAAAGATATTATTTTCCTGAGCTCAAGCTCACTTTGAGAGTTAAAAAGAGCGTCATAGTTCTGTTCAATACAATTCCCTTTTATTTCGCTAATCTATGCTCTCCATTTGAGCTGGGAAATGGCAATGCTTTCTTAACGACGATGAGCTAGGCTAATTCAAGCTAACTTTGAGAACTGAGGAACAATTTCAGACAAATCTGGGAAATTAAACTTAACTTAAGAGCCAGGGAATTTTAACAATGCGGTTGAAAAAATGCGATGAATAATGTAGATAATGTTTGAAATGCATATTCATTAATTTTGAGTACAAGAAAAAGTGTACAAAAAACTGATAATAATGATGATAAAGTAAAGATCAGACCTATTTTTCTCGACACTGCGAGAACTCTCTTTGAAAATTGACGACAAATTTAATCCCATGCTACCTTTCTGTGGTATACCTAAAACCGCGCAAAAAACTTTTCGGACTAATGCGAATTAGGAGTAAAAGGACTAGAATAAGTTAAACTCATCGATCAATTACGAGCACATAATCTCCCAAACCTATCTGGTTGCCTTTTCTTTAAAATACATGAAGTAGCGAGAAAACATCAACGTAGGTCATAATTTTTTATCCCATTCTCGTCAGGGGCGGATTTAGGGGTTAGGGGGGGGGGGGCGGTTGCCTGTCCTCAAGGATTCGACCCCCTTCCTACCCAAAGGGTCCCCTTTTGTACTATTTTGAGATATCCATTTTCGGCTGACGGACAAAAAAGTTTTTCTATAGGCGCTTTTGGCGCCAATAAATACTAAATTTAGGGGGAGCGCGCGCCAAAAAAAACGCGATTTTTTGGTAAAAACTTCCCAAAAAATAAAAAAGCCTTAAAACGATGTTTTTCGCCTAATTTTTAAAAAAGTTTGCCTGCGGCGCAAAAATTTAGACCAAAACAGGGCCTTCTCGGTGAGTATACAGTTTGTTTTAACATAAGATCAAAAAAATTTAAAAAAATTACTTTTTTCATACTGTATCAAAAGAAATTTTTTCATACTGTATCAGATTATATAACCGCTTTTAAAAAGTTAACGCGAAATAAGCAGACAAAAAATAGGACAATAACCACGAATCTGAGAAAAAAACATGGAAAAGTTTCAATTTTATTTCAAAGACTTAATGACAACCTAAAATGAACTCTTATTTGATAGTTATTTGAATTTTCGAATAATGACTGTGTTCGTCTACTGCACAGGTAAATAACTGTACGTATTTTTTCAGGTTTGTATGAAAAACTATTTATGATGAAAAAAGTATAGAGCCCGAAAACAGTTCAGTTGATCGAAAAACATAAAAAAAGATATGGATATCAAACATTTAAATTCCTCTTCAAAGCTGAAACAATTGACATGTCGCAAAAAGCATTGTCAGATTAAAAATAACATTTCGTTTATAAATCAAAGTAACCAAGCTTCTACATCAAAAAAAGTATCTCAAAAGTTCACATACATGCCAGACATTTGAATATTCTACATAGAGGCGAAGCGGAGCTTCGCACCACTTGCGATCGACACAAACATAGAAGTTACGGGAAAAAAATCAAATATTGAAAAAACTAGGTGGACCAAATTTTTCGTTTCTCGATAAAAACAACTAAGGGCCAGTTAAATATGAATGTATGTGTTTGATAATGAATGAATTGCTCTATTGATGCGGCACGAAAAATGTGATTACAAAAATTGGTCTTTGTCCAAAACCTTAGTTGTTTCACTACTAAAATAGATGAGAAGAGTAAACAAATTGAGATAATCAATATTCCCAGGGAGATATCATTTCTCTTACAACAAATTGAGGAGCTTCGGCTTCTGCAGGGTTATTTATCGCAATTGGTTCTTTCAATTGAACTTTACATCTCAGATTTGATTGTGTAAATTAAAAAAAATCAAAAAAATTTCTATAAAACGCTCAAGAGACTTTCCAAAACTGATATTTTTTTTCTGAAAGAATCAGATTGTGGCCACTTAAGTAGAGAAGATTCCCAAAACTGAGTTTTTTGAGTGAACACAACCTGAGATTTGGTACGATAGTTTCCGCGTAAAGTCAAAAGATTCCAAAAAACTAGCAGTTTCAAAATTTTGACTTGTTTGAAGGCCATAACTTCTCTCTTAGACAAACTGGACATAGTAATTCAAATATAGAGGTAAGCTTTCAACAACCTGTTGTTTCGATTAAACTTTTGATATCAGTTTTGGCAGGATAGTAAGCGAGAAGAGTCCAAAAAACGGTCAACAAACCAAAAGTTTGACATTTCCGAGATTCATAGCTTTTTGTGTGAGAAAATAGGGAGTAGCCGTTTATGCAAAAAGAAATCACGCAACTTGTAATTTCTATTGCACACAAAATCTCAGATTTGGGAGGGAAGTTCTCGAGAAAAGTCATAAACTTTCAAAAAACTGTTAAAAAGTTTTGGGTGATAAAAAATTTGGGCGCAGTCGCTTACGCAGGAAGCATTTCAAAACCTATCTAATTGTTGAAACCAAAAACTCAAATTTGAGAGGTATAGCTTTTGAGAGAAAAAAATCAAAATACTCGCCCACAGACTTTTTCGAAGGAGATAAATTTCCATACCAAAAAAAAACTTCAACAAACCGATTGATAAACAAATAACCAAATTGAAAAGTGCAGGGAAGAGTGTTAAAATTAAGTTACCCTTGAAAAGACCCAAAATTAGGTCACTAGGCCGATAAAAATTAAGCTGGAATAATTTGGACCGAGGAAGTTTTTTAGCAAAACAAGAAAACAGAAGGATATACGAAGTCAAGCAAAGTAAAAGTATAAATTGTAGAAGTAAATCAAACACTGAAAGCAACATCAAAAAAAAAATGCGCACAGCAAAAAAAAAAGTTTCAAAAATTACAACAGAAAAGCAGACAAATAATTGGCCGAAAACGTTGCTTGAAACAGAATATTGCATATTCGAAAAAAAGCAGGTCCTGGTTAGCTTCGAACTAAGGATCCTTGCCTTCCGACGCATACTCGTTACCTCTAGGCTATGTTGGCCGGGAACGCATCGAAATTTGATTTAATTACAAACCAAGATACAGGTGGTTCTGTTGAGTAAGTTGTCCACCCGAAAAGTTTATATTCAGGTTTGATTACGCTTGCTAATCGCAAGCGTAAACATGGGAGCGTCATTGTTGCGGAATCCGCTTACAATTCACACAATGCCCAGTTTGACCTCGTAATGGTTTTTCTAATTAAAATGAATGTAACCATAGCTAGATTTTGCATTAGTATAAAAACACGGTAATGATGACAACACCGAAGGTGTTGTAATTATAATCATTAACTATTTGTACTTTTTTTTAAATCAGTTTATTGTCATGTATAATGTATACTAACTTAATTGGAACCCCGCTGACGGTAAGATAAGGCAAGATTGCACTCTGCCACTGCAAAAGCCTCAAAATTGTCAAATTCTTCCCAAATTTGACACCACGGTTTTTGAGCAGCTCTCAAATTCTCTAAGAGATACTAAATCTAAAGTAATTAAGCTACTATATTCAAGTGACAGAGCTGCACTTGAACATCGTTTGATTTCTGCCATTTTATAACAATGACAAAAACCACACACACTGTGAAAAGTGTTATTTATCGTCGAGTGCTAAGTTACTTAAGGCATAAATTTACGAACCACACCAACGTACCAAGTAATTATTTGTAGCCTTGACTCATGATTATTTTTGACCAAATATTTTGCTCGATCAGTCTTTAAATTTTGATCAAGCTTTCCATAGCAGTTTCAATAACTGCAGGAAGGTACTGATTCAAACAATAACATTGAAAAAATCCTTTAGCCATAACATGTTTCACTGCAGGTGATGCAAACTCATCTTAGGGTGTATTAAGATTCTATTTTTTCAAGGATTGCCAATGGTCGCCGTAAATCTGTTTTTCAGGGCACCTTAGTACTTACACGTGGGTCGGAGGTTTAAAGAAAAGGACTAAAATACGAAAAACATTTTAAAAAACTTAACTCTATAGCCTCTTTCGTAGTCCTAATTTTTCATAAAGTGCAGAAAATATATTAGAAAACATTTCGCTTCGGCTGCTCATAAAGTGCAGAAAATATATTAGAAAACATTTCGCTTCGGCTGCTCGAAAAATAGATTAAGACGGAAATTAGCAAAAATTCAGATTTGAATGCAATGGAGTTTTTAATTTGCGATGTTATTAGAAATTGAAACGTAAGATTTAATGACAAAATCGAACCGAGCCACACCAACATCAGTTAAAGGGCAGTCGGAATGTTTAGGGCTTTGCTCTCATACGAGCATATTTTTAGACTTGTAAGGGTCAGCGAATCTTTTCTGTGATTATTATTGTCCCGCCATTCAAAGCGAGCGACGGAAAATTTTGAGCTCGGGTAGTTGTTTTTCCAGACAAACTTCGATATTTTAAAAAGCCTTTATTGACGGAACTTTTTCACATCAACTATAAGGTACTGATCTCCTGAACTCAAAGTAAACAAAAACTGCGAAGTTTTTGAGGTTTCAAAATTGTCATTTTGTGATGTGCACTTTATTTCGATCTATTAAAGCGTACGTGCTAGTAGCAAAAACGGGAAAAAATAGCGCAAACTCGTTTAAAATATCTAAACAAAAGAGCAAAAAAAGAAATAAAATTCATTACGAGGCCAAACTGTTGATTTTGTGAATTGAAAGCGAATTCCGCAATAAAGACAATCCCTTTGTTTTTCTTTTAATCTTTCGACTTCGTTGATCGTTCCGACAAAGTTTTAACATGTTTAAAGACGTGTCTCTGGAATCCAGAACAAACAGACAAAACTGTCAACCTATCCAGTGCACAGTTTGGCCTCGTAATGTTCAATTTTTGAAGCAAGAAGTTACTCACCTTAAAGTTCTTAGAATCTCGAGAATTTTTATCATAGGAACTCCTTTGTTTAATTTATTCCCTTTGAATAAAAATGGATCGAATTTTTTAAAAAACTTTATAAACGGGGAAAATTTTAGTCATCTTTTGAAACTTGCACTCATGCACGTGTTTTATATTTTTAATGTTTGATAGTATAGTTTGCCTTCCATTTAGGAAAAAAACAACAACTGAAATTGAAACAAATCAGTTGTTCAACTGCGAAAAATCTAAATTAAAGTTAAAATAGATTTTTTTCCTGAAAAATTTGTGTTGGTTAGTAACCGCAACACCAATTTTCCATCAAATATTCAAAATCAGCTTAAACTAAAATTTTGCACATTTTTGTTCGATGCAGAAATTTGGCTTTTTGACTTTTTACCGTATTAGTTAAGTTTGAGAAATCAATTGGGCGTTTCGAAGACAATTTTGTTATCTTCTTAAGAACGCATCTCCCATCTCTGAATTAAACTTAGCTTCTTTTGGGAGAAAAAGACGTATCTACGAAAATTCCAATCAATTAAACACAGAGTCGGCAATCTTTGAGCTGAAACCACTTGAACCAAAGAAAAAATGATTTTTGAAAATCTTTCAAGTCCCTCTTGAAACTAGAATAAACAGCACTTGCAACTACATTGAAAATTGCTTACAGCAAACAAAAATCAGTGAGCTGGCAACTACACTCTTTCAATTCACTCTTTAATTAACGAAAAGATTATAATTTAAGCTTTCCTTGGAAAAACCAGTTTTGAAAGTTAGCAGACAGAAAATGAGACGAAAATGATCTTTCCGATAGAACATGGTCTACCCTCTTAACTTTAAAAATGCAGAAAACATTGAAAAACAAAATTTTTAGTTTTTGTCACTATTTTCAAGACAATCATTATTGTTCAAAAAGTATGCAGATGGTTCCCGCAAAATCTACCAAAAAGGTAGGATCAAAAATGCAAAAACTTCCTGAAAGTTTTTGTCACAAATTTTTCTACGGAGACCGCTCAAAAAATTAGGGACCCAACTATTATCTAGCAATAAAATTTAACATAATTTTACTATAACATTTTTAATCAACACTCAACTGTGGCACAGAAATATCCGACTTGCGTTCAAAAAAGCGGACCGATCGTAATACAAAGTCACTATCTGGACTGTGTTAACATGCTATGCATACTCACGCAAAACGGCGGACGCACGGCAAATTAGAAGCAACGCACCGAGTGGATTTTGAAAATAGGTTTTTCCAATCTAGCATTCTGGTCCTTCATAAAAACTGGACAATACGGCAAGTTTTAGCAACCAATTGTTTCAAACTAAAAACTATTTTAATACCAATACAAGTCTGTTTGCTGATTCCTTAGATACAAAACCAAAGCTTGAATATTTTATTGATAGAATTCTATACAAATAATTGCACCAAAATATTTATGTCTTTATGTCCAAAAGTATATTTCTTCCATAGCGACATCAAATACTCCCTCATAATCAATAGTTTTTATCTCAAGAACGTGTTGCTCTTTCATTTTGGGTCTATACATCACAACATCAAAAATTAAAGTTGCCATTTACAAGTTATGAATAATCAATCAGAAGTTTTCAAAAGTTTAGGCACTTATTCCAGCGTCAGAGAGTATTGAACATCTGTCTTGTTTTTCAAACACACTTCCCGGTTTCTGGATGCAATATTTTGAGGCTGCTTGACCCAATTTAACGCATTGGGATAGTTCAAAACCCTGCGCTAAACCCGCAATGAAGCCACCGACAAATGAATCTCCAGCACTATTTGTATCTACAATTCTCTCCTTAGATAGTTTGGCTACTTCTACCTCGAGAATGACTTCCCCATTCGAAGCTACAATAACTGGGTCCAAGCCCTGAGTGAAAACTACAAATCGGTTTCGGTTTTTGTTTGACTTCGGGAGAGAGCTAGCCCATTTGGCGATCTCGTGGGTGTCTTTACCTTTTGGACCTCCGTTGGCTTCCGAGAACTTTGCGGCTTCCGTTTCGTTTCCAAAGAGGTAGTCAGTGTAAGGTAGAAGTTTGGACATGGGCTCCTAATTTAAAGACATTGTATTTAGACCTACACATAGTCGATAAAAAACAGCTAGCTTCGCCCTCAGCATAGAAAGCTAACTCCAATCTACTTTTACTAATTTAGGCTTTAAAAAACAGCTGATTTTCAAGAAAAAAATTTCATTAATGAACAGAATTATAGCAAAATGTCATTAGTAAATTTCGTTAACAGAATTTCTGAAACCATCTGATGCTTCACTGCTCGAAAGTCGGGTTAATCTTAAACTAATCAGAAAAACAGCAAAGAACGTACATGCAACATTAGTAATCACAAATACAAGCTCCTCGCCACCCCCCTCCCCACCTGCAAAATTTACAAGTAAACTTTGTTCACATAGTGCGATTGTTATAACAATTGACATACAAACTAATTAGGCCATGGCAAACATAATTGGTCTTCATGATTAACCTTTTAAAACCACTCGTTACGCCATAAATATGATGCTCCTGTGAGGTGTGTGTGTGTGTGGGGGGGGGGGGGGCGACTGAGAGAGGAAAAAAGATCCCAAATACCTTAGAAACAATTTGCCAGAGACAATGGCCAAGCTGCACTTCGCAAACACTAGCGAGAACACGACAAAAAGCAGCTCTATAAAAAGCAATAAGAAAAAGTAAAGAGCCACGAATTAAAAAAAACGGCTACGTCTCGGATTCGATCTTCAACATAGAGATTATCAGCCTCACACACTAACCACGGTCGGTTATTAAATCGCAAACACTAGCAACGAATAAAGTAGATAACAGATGCTATGATATTTCCAATGCTACAGATCGTGATTCTAGCATAAGTGCCACCAAATAAGTGAACACTTTTATTGCGAGTTAGGTTAGGAAAAAAAGACCCATACTAATACACTAACGCTAACAAGCTCACTAGGGTAAAAAAAACGAGCAAAACAAAAAATGAAAAGTCTAAAGAGTTTTGAAAGAAGCCAGACCTGGAAGAACTGGCAGATGAATTCTGCGGACAAGTTGAGGCAGTAGATTTTGTCGGTTACACATGCATGTTCGGCCAGTGCAAGCATCCCGTCAGGAGTGACAGTCAAGGGGAAGCCGGCACTGTAGAATATCTTGGCCTTCTCCACTAAACTCCAGATCTTGTCACTCTTCAAGTGTGCGTCTTTATTGTAGCAGTCAGCAGCTGCCAGATTCGCCACCAAAGACCTGCCAGAATCATGGTTATCTCCACAATTTTAAACCATCTTTTTTAAAGGCGAGCAGACCTCTTAAACATTTCTTCAAAAGTCAAGACATTTGATAGAGAAAATTAATTAATGACCCAATTATGATTTTTCAGTTCATTCAAGCCATCACGTTCACCTTTATTTTCAGAAAAAAAAAGATTCCTTGTGACAGCTCTCTACTGGGAAGAAACTATGACCTCAGCAATGTAACTTTCCTTCCCGGTTGTTTCAATTTCTCGCACAAACTCCGATATTTCGCTCCACGGTTTTACTCCATACGAATTGAAGCAGAGTTTGTCAAATTTGGTTTTACTTGTTTTATTTCGAAATCTTGCCCTTTAAAATTTGACTGGCTTCGTAAAAAATTACTAAGATAGGAAGGAAAAAGCTGAAAAATTTTAGTATTGATTCGCCAATGTAAACTTGTCATGAACTCCGTTGTGAAGGTACCTTTCCTCAAATCACAAACAAACCCAACTGTCATATTTTGAGCACGAACTAGCTTCATCATCTACTTTTTGCTGACTTTTAAATACATCAAGTTGGTATTATTCAAATTTCATAAAATTATGGTAACAGCAAAACTTTTTCCATTTTCGAAGCTTGTAAATGATTTAATCGAAAACGACACAAAATGTTAATTTGGTGTTCGAACGTCAAATTGCAATCAAAACTAGGGGCCCAGCTGAAAGCTGGAGAGACCTGTTTGATTATTTTAATATTGATTATTTTAAAATTGTTTTAAAATTTCAGGTTTCTCATGTCGATAGCACCCTTCCTACGCAAAAAAAGTGAAAGAGAAGCTTATGCATTCATTGGTAACGCTTTGGTAAAAAGTTTTCATGAGGGAACTTTTCAAGTCCATAGGTGTTTCCCTAGACAATAGGGGCCCAGCTGAAAGCTGGAGGGACCTGTTTGGTTATTTCAGAAAAAACGTTATACAAATTTTTGATGAAATCGAATTAGCTAGCGCTTTTTGTTTTATTGAAAAAACGAGTTTGAAAAAATGTGGGTGGGGGGTGTAAGGTTAGCGAAATCCTAAGTGTACAGCTCTTCCCCGAGACAAATTAAGGACCATCCGCTTGGGCAGGGGAGTTTCCTACAACCTGGTCTATCGATTAAACCCTTAATCCCAAATCTGGACGGGTAGTTTTTGAGGAAATCGGAAAGATTTGAAAAAAGGCCAAAAAAGTGACTTTTCCTAAGTCTATAGCTCTTCCCCTAGGCAAGTTAAGGACCAGTCGCTTGTGCGGGGGAGTTTCCTACAACCTGGTCTATCGATTAAACCCTTAATTCCAAATCTGGATGGGTAGTTTTTGAGGAAATCGATAATTTCTTAAAAAAAATAGGCAAAAAAATCAAAAAAGTGACTTTTCCTAAGTCTATAGCTCTTCCCCTAAGCAAATTAGGGACCAGCCGCTTGATCATGGGGGGTTCCTACAACCTGGTCTATCGATTAAACCCTTAATCCCAAATCTGGACGGGTAGTTTTTGAGGAAATCGATAATTTCCGAAAAAATAGGCAAAAAAATCAAAAAAGTGACTTTTCCTAAGTCTATAGCTCTTCCCCTAAGCAAATTAGGGACCAGCCGCTTGTGCATGGGAGTTTCCTACAACCTGGTCTATCGATTAAACCCTTAATCGCAAATCTGGACGGGTAGTTTTTGAGGAAATCGAAAATTTCCGAAAAAATGGGCAAAAAGTGAAAAAAGTACCGAGTTGTGAAGCTTTTCTAAGACCGTAGGGGGTGGGGTAGGGTAAAAATTTCCCTAAATTTCATGCAGCCCGGTAGGTGAAACGCTACTGAATCCATTGGTACCACTTTTATGAGAATCTGACGGGTAGTTTTTTGGGAAAGCGAATTTTTCGAAAAAGCGTCTCAAAAAAAAAACAAAAAAAAACCAGATCTCATCTGGAAAAAAAACGTTTTCATTTCATAATACCTGTTTAATAAATCAAACAGGAATTAGGCCCAATAATTCAATTTTATCTCGAACTAGAAGACATTTGCGTATGATATTATTAGACTAGGGGCCCAGCTGAAAGCTGGAGAGACCTGTTTGATTATTTTAATATTGATTATTTTAAAATTTCAGGTTTCTCAAGTCGATAGCGCCCTTCCTACGCAAAAAAAGTGAAAGAGAAGCTTATGCATTCATTGGTAACGCTTTGGTAAAAAGTTTTCATGAGGGAACTTTTCAAGTCCATAGGTGTTTCCCTAGACAATAGGGGCCCAGCTGGAAGCTGGAGAGACCTGTTTGGTTATTTCAGAAAAAAACGTTATACAAATTTTTGATGAAATCGAATTAGCTAGCGCTTTTTGTTTTATTGAAAAAACGAGTTTGAAAAAATGTGGGTGGGGGTGTAAGGTTAGCGAAATCCTAAAAGTACAGCTCTTCCCCGAGACAAATTAAGGACCAGCCGCTTGGGCAGGGGAGTTTCCTACAACCTGGTCTATCGATTAAACCCTTAATCCCAAATCTGGATGGGTAGTTTTTGAAGAAATCGAAAAAGTTTGAAAAAATGGCCTAAAAACCGAAAAATTGACTATTCCTAAGTGTATAGCTCTTCCCCTAGACAAATTAGGGACGAGCCGTTTGTGTAGGGGGGGTTCCTACAACCTGGTCTATCGATTAAACCCTTTATCCCGAATCTGGACGGGTAGTTTTTGAGGAAATCGGAAAGATTTGAAAAAAGGCCAAAAAAGTGATTTTTCCTAAGTCTATAGCTCTTCCCCTAGGCAAGTTAAGGACCACCCGCTTGTGCGGGGGAGTTTCCTACAACCTGGTCTATCGATTAAAACCTTAATTCCAAATCTGGATGGGTAGTTTTTGAGGAAATCGATAATTTCCGAAAAAATAGGCAAAAAAATCAAAAAAAGTGACTTTTCCTAAGTCTATAGCTCTTCCCCTAGGCAAGTTAAGGACCAGCCGCTTGTGCGGGGGAGTTTCCTACAACCTGGTCTATCGATTAAACCCTTAATTCCAAATCTGGATGGGTAGTTTGAGGAAATCGATAATTTCCGAAAAAATAGGCAAAAAAATCAAAAAAGTGACTTTTCCTAAGTCTATAGCTCTTCCCCTAAGCAAATTAGGGACCAGCCGCTTGTGCATGGGAGTTTCCTACAACCTGGTCTATCGATTAAACCCTTAATCCCAAATCTGTACGGCAAGTTTTTGAGGAAATCGAAAATTTCCGAAAAAATGGGCAAAAAGTGAAAAAAGTACCGAGTTGTGAAGCTTTTCTAAGACCGTAGGGGGTGGGTTAGGGTAAAAATTGCCCTAAATTTCATGCAGGCAGGTAGGTGAAACGCTACTGAATCCATTGGTACCACTTTTATGAGAATCTGACGGGTAGTTTTTTGGGAAAGCGAATTTTTCGAAAAAGCGTCTCAAAAAAAAACCAGATCTCATCTGGAAAAAAAAAAACGTTTTCATAATACCTGTTTAATAAATCAAACAGGAACTTCTCCATTGACCTGTTGGTTCTCTTCTTCTGGAAAAAATACCTGTTTTATCTTCTTTCATTTCCAGACTATGTTTGGCAAAAGTCCAGCGTAGTTCTTTGAACACTTTATTTATTTTCGCAAGATGTATGTCGCTAGAGAACGAAAAAAAATATTTGATCATCATAATCATAAAAGTGGTACTCGATTAGTTTTCTATCTGAATAATCATATACTAGTAAAAAAATTAAACTTAAAACAAAATAGGCCCAAGTACCGAGCGTTGGGGAACACCAGCATTGTGATTGATTTCATCTGACTGAACTCCATTTACTGACACTTTAAATTTCCTTTTTTCCAAATAAATTTTCAGAAATTATTTGACGGCTCCTTCAATATATAATCTTAGCTCCAAAATCTGTAACGTTACCGTTTTGCAAACCGTGTCTGGTATCTTTTTTATAACCACAAATGTCCTATTTTCAGAGTTCAAGTTAGCGCTCATCGCACAGCATTTGATCTGGCGGGGAACATCATGGGTGAAAACAATTACAAATGTTTAAAATTCGGTCAAAACTCATTCGGCATTTCTCTGCTCATGGGGAACCACCATGGATGTTTAATAAGGCCAGAGAATCTTCCAAATTTCATTTTATCATGAGGAAGCAAACATGAGATTCAGCTCGAGAAACCGTTTTACGATATGGAAAAGCATAACGCACACTTCAAAACAAAAACTTAGCTTTTCTTTAAACAGGAATAGCTTTTCTGGCAAAAAAAAATGCGGAAAATAAAGTGAAAGGACAACCAATTACGAAGTAACATAGGCCATCAGAAATCAGAATTCAAAATTCCAATTCACTTTGTGCTAAAGGCAGTCTGCAGATTTAATTGGTCTGCACGGAGACTTTTTTCCATTCGGGTCTGTTTTCATAAGAACAGTCTCCTTAACTGACCTGTCGTGACCAGTGATGCAGACTGCACATGTTCCAGTGGGGTGGGTGTCCACTTGATAGAATTGCACATTCACTCCATCATTCACACACAGATCCTTCAGAGTGGAGGCATACGCGTCTGTTCCCACACAACCAACAAAAGTACACGCTTCAGGGTACTTATCACCTGAAAAGATTCAATTTCTGGAGGAGTGACAAAACCCAAACCCACCTGTTCAACAATGCACTTCCAGTTAAAGTAAACAACAGGAATTACCTGGAATGATATGGTTAGTTTTTCAAATAGAGATAAGACAAAAAACGCAATGCTCCCCGTAGTCACAACTTATTATTTTATGAATTTATGCTATTATTCGACTGGAGAACCAAAAACCACGACCAATTTCAGTTCCAATAACAATAGTAATCACAAACATAGCCAATCGAAGTTTGGAATAGAGTAATGAACGCAAGTAAACAATAAAAAAACGCGAACTTTCCTGAAAAAATCTCTTCGAATTTCTAGAACAACTTCGAAATTCAAAGAAAAAAAATATATGCCGTTTAAGCTTTTTGTATTTCTTGAACAATTTATGATTGACGCTTTTTTGATAACATGAAACCAATTTGAGAAAAGTGGATCAATAGGTAAAACTTTCATTCCGCTGGGAAATCTCAAAAATAAATTCCACCTTCGAGACCAAAAATCGTTCACGTTTTTTTGCGCCATTTCCACGCTTGTATTTGGAGAGTGCTATTTCAGCAGATAAATTTCAATTGAACTAAAAAAAGTGCATTATACCTAAGTGCATCAGTATTTTAAGACTTTTACCTGAAAAGATCAGCAAGACCTATATAAGAGTCTTTACTTCATTCATTACTCTTAAAACTAAATCAGATCTCTTTAAATCATTATTTAACTAACCAATCAGCCACTCGCAATATCTGATTGAGTTCAAGGTTGCCCCACCCGGGATGAAAATATGTTCGAACTTGTCCACCATCTCTTGGTACATGGGAAGCTGTTGCTCCCCCGCCAGAATAGCATTGTTCGGCTTCAGTCCATACTTCTCCAGAAACTCAGGCGTCACCTCAGCCGAAATATCCAGAAGAGGGTTTCCCAGGGCAAAAATACACCCTTCGCTCAAAATAGACATCACACTGTCTTAAATAACACGACTTTCACGTATTTTACCAATAGAATAGAGAACTAAATTATTACAAATTATTAAGCGACCTTGGGTGTTACTTTGTGATGGCTAGATTGATTATGTAACTTTTCAATTTAGAGCAGAGTTATTGAGAAGAGAGACGTAATTAAGAGAGCAATGTCTTCTTCTTTAGATAAGAGAGCTGTAAATTATCCAAAGTATTGTAAAATAGTTTTGAGTTATAGTGGAGATGTGTTTTCATTTTCTAGTTGCCAAATGAAACATTCGATAATAAGATAATTTGAACCTTGAACCTGAAACAAGTTGCTGATACTGCTGTTATCGACTTCACAAATTTGATTTGAGCAGAAAAGGCCCGGTTACTGAACCTAAGAGATCGCTTCTCAACTTTTTTAGTCAAATGAAATACTCACAGATACATGAGTTTGGAATATGGCTGCAAGCAAACGTTGTTATATTTGCACAGCAACTTATTAAGGAGAGAAACCATAAAATCGCTATCTGATGTAGAATCGCTACAAATTAATAGAAGCCGCCATTCGAGGTCATCAAAATTCAATATATCCTGTGCTATAGCTTTCAAGATCGTTGAATTTGAAGGCACGTCTCAGCCATTTTTATTACAGTATCCGCTCAAATCCTTACCTATTTGAAACACTTTCTCGCAGCTTCTTACTTCTAACACTGACAACTTATGAAGAATTATGTAAGAAAAGTTGTTTAATGAACAAGCTTAGTTCCCGATTACACGACATTTGCTCTTGCTTGAACTAATCAGAAAAAAATTTCCATGAGAAAAACACCAACCACTTTTCAAGTTAATCTAGAGAATGCCAATAATGACGAAATGATCAGAAATCAAATTCATTGACTGTAAAAAAAACTTCTTAAACAAGAGTACTCGGTTGCTGATTAGTTAGCACAAAGCTCAGACAGATCTCAGTATTCGTTGCAAAAGTTCCAAAGCAAAAAATCATGAGTACTTTTGAGGGTTGAAATGAAACTTGAGAGACATAGGCGCTACGCGCAATACACCGAAGGCATAGAAACTGAAGCAAAAACCAAACAACTTGAACAACTAATAATTGAAGAATAACAGTTCTAGAACAAAAAATCGTACTAATACATGTATACACCAAAATTTTGCTATATCGAGAAAGAGCCTGAAATAACAGTTCTAGAACTAAAAATCGTACTAACACATGTATAGGTTAAATTTTTGATATATCAACGAAGATCATAAAATAACACTTCTAGAACTAAATTATAAATAAATATAAGCAAACTAAACATAATTAAATAAATAGAAGAACAGATAATTAAATAAATAAAGATGAACAAATAAAGAAACAAGCATACGCAATCACGTGACATAGCGCGATATAGTCCAGCCCACATGACAATTGATAACTGTGGACGTTATTTGTCGACACTTAACAACAGACAACATTAAAAAAAAAACCCGTTACACGATACCATAACACCTTGACTAAAGTCTTCGGTGTAATTAGGTGAATTAGATTGGTGCAAGGCGAAAGCTTTGTCAACAATTCAACTAAAACTGAAGATGAGGCACGACTTGACATTAAGGCAAACGGACTCTGGGGTTCACGATTCAGCCGCGCTTTCTTTGATGTGAAAATTTTCAACTGTAACATTCGCCCGGAAGATACATATCGACGGAAAATAAAACTAAGTCCTAAGACGACTGGCTAACGTCTAAACAGAGCTTTACATGCTTTTCACCGTCTCTACCAAGCCAGTACTTTCGGTGGTCTTTTCTAACATCGGGTCGACAAAAAACGTTACTGCTTTCGGCTTCGGTCAAAACACTCAAATTAACTTAATTACATGCAGAAATAGTGAGCTCATGGCTGGGTCTCAGTATCCCCAGACCACGAGGTCACTCCTAAAAACAGGGCTATTATTATTTATTGAATTATTATTGTTTTTGTTCAGTAGATAAAAATCATCATCTCCATCGAAGATGGATCAACCCTTTCCCCCAACTCCTAGCTTCTCATCCTTATCAAAATGAATCCAGTTGTTAATTAAATTCAATTCAGGACATGACAAGGAAGCTAAAAGTTCATATAAAAGGATAAAAGTTTCAGTCCCGAAACCCTTCCGGATTCTTGAATCCACTGAATCAAGCACGTTAAACTTGATTTCTCCGTAACCCGGAAGGCTGGTTTCCACCCTTCACCGCTGTTCGCAACGTCCTTGCAACTTTTGTAGCGACACAATAGTTGCCACTCGGGACGTTCTCTGTCAACTCCGTGATTCGTTGTCGTTTCTTAATCACAATTTCCGTTGTTCTCGCAATCGCAACTAATGTTGTTCTGTTGCTTTTTAGCTCTTCTGCCAAAATGGCCGTTTCTGACGTTTCTCAGAAATGTTACGTCATCACTTCGAAAATTAAAAAAATTTCAAAATACCAGAATATCTTGACCTTCACCGTTCTACTAATCATCCGAATAACATCGTTAATCCTTCAAAATCACTAACTCGGAAGGCTCGCTGCTAAAAATTCCTAAACTGCAGAGATTGCATTTTGTCCATTCTGGTCGAATGTCACATACTCCCCGGACAGTCCGGTCAATGTCCCCATTGAATCACGCAATGTTCGTAAAATAGATACAGTGTCATCGAACAGAATTTACAACATGCACGAAATTACTTTTATCCACGTCACATCGACTCACTGCAGAATATAAAGGGCATCATACCACATCACTATAGCCTTCAAATTCTTTCATTAATCTGCACATTGAGGATATGACCTAAGATAAAACATATTTTTCGACTTCCAATGTCAATGTCCCGATTAAAAACTTTTTCTCTTAGATTTAAAAGGTGTTGACTTGCAGGACAGTCCTGCCAACCAACAAGCTAAAATTATCCTACTATGCTTCTTCCCTTCGGAAATCTTGCTTGTTATTGTCCTGAATATTAAAACTAAGAAACTCTGTGGTTAGAAAGAACAATGAAGCAATCTCCCTCTTCGAGAGATTACCCAAGCCTTCCATGTCACCACAAAGTGATCAGTTCTCCCAGCTGATTAAAAACAGTCATGTAGGCTGGAATATTTAAATATACTCCTTTACTTAAGCCTTTCTAAATAAATAGTAAGTAAGTGTCTCTAAAGCCACTCAACTAAAATCAAAATCCAAATTTATAAGTGCAACAATTTCAAAACTCAACTAAATGTTTCAGTTTTCAATTACAACTTGGTTGCTTGGTTTCTCACTTGAGTTTTTTCACACAAATAAAACAATTCTGAGTTTTAACTTTTTTTTCATCACTCCTTTGTTTTCTTCTTTTTTCGTCGTTTAGAAGTTCTAAAATTTCTAAATTCTTCTAACTTCATCTCTTTTTGCATCTTGTTTTTCGGTCATTCGTCAATGTTCCATTTCTTCCTCCTGTGATACTGACTCTGCACTCTCAGTTTCCGTATCCTGCAACACGTCGTTAGCTATCCTGACGCTGCTGGAAGCCGTCCTCCAACACTTCTGCTCTTCTACCCTCTGTTTGCAACAAGGTAGGGGATCCACGTTAGATTCTCTGTTCCTGCAGAAGCTGTTGTGGAGACACAACGTCATGTTTCTCTCCAAATCTTCCTTTAACATCTCTGCCTTCTCCTTTCCACTACGTTCACTCGTCCTGGAAATTCTTTTCACAGCGGTGGTCACTGCATTCCGATGAGTCACGAGAGCTCGCTTGAAAGCTCCTGCTCCAATGTCCAGCTGATATTCACTGTACACCCTGCCGTGCTTCGACATATGCTTTTTCGCATATTCGTACAACCATGCAGTCATGTTAGCTCTGAACCATGGCATCAATCGTTTTCTTGCCCATATCTTCTTCACTTCCATCGGAATGTTTAGAATTTTGCACATTGTCTCAAAAAGATCTAAATCTTTTAGACAATCTAATTTCCGCAACTGTTCTCTCGTCGGTGCCTCCTGTCTATTATTTTCTCTCACATGAGCCTCCAGCCATCGTATCGCCATCATAACTCCCACTATCACTATTTTTATGGGCTGTGATGAGTCTGGTAAACCCGTGGAGAGCAGCTCTCCAGAGTCCCAGATCAACATCAGATTACTACGCTTGGGATACCACCAAGTCTGCAGCAAGCAGTGGCAGGGAAACTCGTCATGTGTCAACATGATGCTCCTCCAATTACGTTTTCCCGAAGCTTCCAGTAATGGTTCCACTTCCATCATCACTCGGTGGACTTCATCATTCTCGTCTACTGCATTGTAATCTGTGACAGTTTATCCTCTCTGTTTCTGTCTCTCAAAGTCACTGAAGTTCCCGCTCACATATCCCATGAACTTCTTTCCTAGTATTGACTCCAACTCTTCCTTGGTTCTCTCTGGAACTGCTGAGAACATCTTACATAGCAACTCGTAAGACTTCTCGGACATTCTCGCCAGTCTCACACACTTCGGCACTGAGAAGGCTTGATCCACGATCGTTCTCGTACTCTTTACGTCCACAGCCACGAAATGTACAGGGTATCTGCTCTTGCACATTGGAGCCAATGTTGAACCCACCAAATATCGTGCTCCTGATGGTCTACAATAAGTCTCACTGTGTCTGATGTTCTTTTCCGTCTCGATTGCTTCCCTCAATTTTCCTATGTATTTCTGCTCAGTCTGCAGAACTCCTGGGAATACTACTACACTGATGGCTGTGACCATCTCATGTTTCTGTTCTAGATTCAATAGTGACTCCAAAGAACCAAACGTGCTGTAGAATCCTAGTGCGGTCACTAGATTCACCTCGATTCCTCCATGGCAACCTGCTATCAGTTCCGTTTCTGTTCTTGCTTTCATCACTACGTTTCCAAACAAAACCGTCAATTGCTTGTGTTGGTTCTCCAGGGTCTTCACACAGTCCAGACCTCCACAAACGTGACCCTCCAGTCCACAGACTTCCGCCAGACAGCTACCAGGTTTGACCCAGTCTTCTGGTCCCCAGCCAGGCAACTCCACTTTATCTTCTCCGTTGCTCCTAGAGGCCGTTATCATCACATTATATATGATGTTGAGGTCACGCAGGTTACAGTCTGCATTCAGTTCCCTCTGCACGTCTTGTGTCGCTCGCAATATCGAGTCAGCGTTGGGACTAGGACACCATGATGGCCTCATCAATTCCCACACTGCCATCAAGCTCGTCCTCAATAATTCATCTGAGAATCCCACTTTTTTTATCAGATTTTGGTACG